AAGAAATAAAATTTTTTTAAAAGTTCAAACTGATGTAGAAAACAAGTCCACAAGAAACAAAATAAGACCTTAAACTTACCTCACCTGAATTTAAAAATCATCTTTAGATTTTAAGCACTGAATACAAGTGAACAAAGACCACATGGGTTGTGGAATGACATCAAAGTGATCATCCATCAAGAGAGCAAAAGGCTGTTAAAACGACTGATGAGGAAAAGCAAAATAAATGTTGGAAGAAACTGAAAATGGCATTAGAGCATCAAGAAGCCAAAACAAAGGGAAGAGATGCCAAATTTCAAAGGACAACATGAAAAGACAAAGCAAATATTATAATGGAATGTGCAAAGAGCTGGAGTTGGAAAATGAAAAGGGAAGAACTCCCTCAGCATTTCTCAAGTTGAAAGAACTGAAAAAGAAAAACAAGCCTCAAGAAAATCTTGAATGATCCAGGATGCATCAAAAGAAGATTGTCATTGTGCCAAAAAGAATTGATTGACACTGAAATATTTCAGGAAGTAGCATATGATAAAGAGTCAATGGTGATGAGGAAAGAAGTTCAAACTGCACTAAAGTAAGTAGGGGGAGGAAAAAAAAGCCCCCAGGAATTGATGTGATACCAATTAATTTTTAACTTCGCTACTAATATACACCAATTTTTCCTTCTGACCTACGCACAAAAAAATTTCCCTTTTTAAAATGCAGGAGGCAATCACAGGTGGTTAATGTTTAACTTTTTATTAAGAAACTAAAGCAAAACAACAAAATTTCAAAATAATTAAAATACAGAATTTTTCTTTTCATTCTAAACGAATAGGAAATCTACATCAAGAACTAAAATTCAGACTTTACTGATATTTATGAATAAAGGGGAATCACTGAAATGCATTCACAGTAATTATTTTAATGCATATAACACTCATGTTACATGGTTTTTGCAAACCATGCTACTTCCACCTGCTTTGTTTCCTATTTGTGTTATGCATGTGTCCGCATTACATGTGAAAATATGGTTCTCTCTTACTAGCCTCAGATTAACATCACTTACCTTCCTGTTTCCCTTGGAATAGGGTACAGAAAGAATTTCTTCATCTTTTACCACTAAAGTCTGTAACTTCAGAGAGATATACTTCTTCCTATAAAGCTCTGAATTTGTTCTTTCAGCATATACGTGAGCACCAGCATATTGGACTTGGATGATGTAGGGCACAAAGAGGATTCCATCAGACACCATCCTAAGATATTTAGGGATAATATGATACCAATAAATAATGATTTTATAAAGGCATAAGGTATGGGAAGTATAGGCAAAATATGGAGATATTTCACGGCAGGGTTAAATGCAGCTGGAAGGACTGTAGCATGTTTTAAGAAGATAGCATTTGAGCTTATGGAGTTTTCCTTCAAATAAAGGCATCAAAGTTCTGATTCTGGTGGTCTCAAATCTGAAAAGTAATTTCCTCAACATTAATCTTTAAAATCCTGTTTCTCTTTTCAAAATGTTCATGTCTTAAAATGACCAATAAAGTCATCATATTATAGTCTATATAAATAGTAGTTTTGGAACTTAATTGTAATGTACTATCTTTTATATAATTTGGGACTTCATTATTTTTTAAACCTCTTTTCCCATTCAAATAGTAGTTAAAAGGCAGAAGATAGCTAGTCATTAAGCCATGACTTTAATATTCAACTGGATAAAATCTACTATTTGAGGTACCTCACCAAATCTATGTCTAAATGTATCTGAGTAAGAATGAGGAACATAAAGTGGCTTTAACATCCAAAAGTAGGATAATGAAAAACAATGGCAACTCTGAAATGATACCTGTTAACCACAGAATTTCTGGAATGAAAAGTTTTAATGAATTATAACTCATTGACCTTTACAGATTTTAAGCCTTACTATTTCTTCTTTTCTATGTAAAACCAGTTAATTTCAACAACCTACCTGAATTTTGACAGAATTATGTTATTAAGAGTCACAGCAACACTTGCTTTCACATCGGCATGCTTCATGAGAACCAGAGGAAGGCCTCCCAGTTCCCAATGCCAATGGGAAAGTTCATATACACTTTTTCCTGTTTACAACTTCAACTGAACTACAACAGATAATTTGTCTCTCAATAGTACTTTTATCCACAGTACAATTGCTTCCCATCGTTTTCTCTTTTATTTCCTCAATACCCTTGTGAGGTAGTAAATGGAGGAAGCAAGAATGTTTGTCTATTTTGCAGATGATAAAACTTAAGGTGAATTTGAGACCAGTGATCCTCAATCTTGGCAATGTGCTGGAATCACCTCAAAAACCTCACTGTCATTCAGTTAGAATCGACTCATAACTGACCCTCCAGTAGGTTTCTGGAGGCCATAAATCACACACGAGACTGCCCATCTTTTCCCTCACAGTTGCCTGCTTCTTCCAACAGGCAGGGAGCCTCAGCCCTTAAGTCAGCAGCTCAACTTCCCATGTACTAACCACCAGAGCTCCTTAGGGAAGTTTTAAAACAGTGCTTATGGCCAGGTATTATCTCAGACAACAACTCAGAAATTTCAGAATATGGAACTCAAGTACCAACATTTTAAAAAATGCATGGGACCTGACATGATGACTCCAAAGTATATGCAAGGTTCAGAACCAATGGTTTCAAGGTGTACGCCATTATTTCATTTTGATGTATAACTGCTTTCTACCTAAATACTGTAGCAGCACCAATGGAGAAAAGAAAAAAACAAAACAAACAAACAAAAATCCCATTTCCTTGAACTACAGCAGTTTCTTTTAATACTCTGTACAGCTAGTATTGATCTCCAGTAAGAAATTATTAGGTTAAAAATTAAAACTCTTCACACTCCTGCTGCTCATCCTATAAACCTCAGCTTTATAAAATGTGCAATAGGGAGTATTAGGAAATTTTAAACTTTCAGAATGCCTGTTAATTAATTACTGACTTGAGGTTCAACATGCAATGATCATGTGTTTCTGTTTCCTGTTCAACAGTACAAAACTTCACTGTGAATGAAGGCTTACTCATAAAACAAAGTGGAAGTTACAAATAAAATTTTCAACAGAACTCTTGGAATTGGCAATAGCACAACCTAAAAAAAGAAACAAGTGTTTTCTAGTCAATCTTCATCCTGAATCCATTCTTTTCTTTAGTCAAATTTAAAACTGTTGTCGAATTGATTATTTTATCAATAAGAGAAAACAATTCCTATAGTGGGTATATATTTAGTACACTCAATGTAGGTTTTCATTCTAGATTTTTTTCTCAACATGGTTTGGAAAAAAAAAGTCACCTCTCAGAAACATACCAAGTACATAGTAACTACTTGTAAACCTTTCAGGTGACAAAAAGTAATGCATCATTGTTCTATGGCTGACCTCCCTTGCTTCACAGGAGTACTGATAATCTTTACTCTCAAAGAGCAACCGAAGAACTCCACAGCTGCCTGCTGTCCTCAATTCTCTAAAATGTTAAAAATTAGAATGATTTCACTTGTTTTAATCAATTCTTACCACAAAGACATTTCTGAAACCATAGTTTATACTTTCATACAGAAAGATGTTTCATTCCTTTTCTTAAAAAAAAGAAAATCTCAATTCATGTATTGGATTATTCATTTTAGAGTAATATTAGTGCAGTGAAATCAGACTTTTCAGTCAAAAATTCAGTTAGTAAGAGTTAATGTTATGCTCTTGTACAATGAAACCTTCAAATCATTGTCAACCTGAAATTTTCAGCATAAGGTGTTGCATTTCAAGTCCCATGGGGGCAATTATCTACAATGAGATTAAGAACATTCTTAACCTGGATTCAGGTTGGCTCTGTCTCAGCTGGGTGAGTAAACATTTTCCTCATAGCTCCAATGAAGGGTTTGAGGCTTAGGTTGTTGCATGATGTAAACAATATAGAATTTCAAAAATTTTGATAGTATCTATTGCATCACACAGTTATAAAGTAAAAGGACGATTTTCCTAGGGTTATGACTAATGGCTTTCTTCTATGATGCTTATAAAAGCAAACACAATATTCTGTGTTGTTGAGACTTTTTACAAGGCCAAAAAAATAAAACCAGACACTGAAAGCAGCACATTACTGTTATGTTTAGATCATCCTTACAGATGCATGTATGATCAGAAATACATTTGCCTTTTTGTAATCTTTAGCCAGGAGATTAAGGACATCTTTATTGTAATTTTGACTGTGTAAAGAAAAAAAAAATCAGACTGTAATAGTTAAGGAAACTGTAAGCCAAATACAATAAATACAAAATGAGGCAATATAGCATCTCTGTTTTTTTAAAAATCCTCTCCTTTATCTCTGCCTTCAAATGTTATTCTGATTTTGTACCATGTAGTGGTTTTTAAGAAAATGAACTAGAACAAAGTAACCTTTGTCCTTTTGTTTTCTATATAGTTCTGTTTTGTTTTTACACACATATTGTATATACAACTTTTAAAATAGCTGCACGACTTTATATTTCACCGCCAGAGAAGTGCAGTCCAGGCAGACCATGCTTCTCAATATATTAAAAATATTAAATAAAACCTAACCAGCTGCATACTCTGCTAATCATCAAGCTGGCTAGAAAAAGGGATTGGAGATAGAACAGGCAGTTGTAAAATGAGATTGGTCTCTCTTCATAAACATACTACTTAAAAATCTTGTAATTTCCTTATCTTATCCCTTTCACAGCATCTTTAAAATTTCACCTTAAAAGTTGGAAATAACACATTGCTACTCAGAGACACAATCTGTTGTAACATGCATATGTCAACTGCCCACTCAACCAATTGCAACCCTGAGGATTTTTCTGGCCTGGTAGGAAGAGGAAACTTTAAGATCATCTTTGCTGCAGAGCTGCTTCTCCAGTTTACAATTTCATGTGTTTCTCAGGATGTTTCTTGGACATGCATGTGTGACGCTGTTTCTTCATGATTTTATTTTCCACAAGTAGATCTCTCTTCTGCTCAGTCTTTCTTCCCAATGAAGTCATTGTCATCCATCCAAAGGTTTTCCAAGGTAAACCAAAGTCACTTCCGTGTTACCGTACACAGCAGACACTGCTGGATACAAACAGGCCTTTGGAAGTCCTCTAAAAGCAACCCCAAGGAACTCATAACCACGTTCAAAAGCTAAAGTCTTATCTTCCATGTCCAAGATGACTCGAATTCTTTCTCCTATCTGCAAATAGACATTAGAAGAAAATTAGATGAAAACCCGAAGAAAGAGAACATAGTTGGGTACAGTCAAGCCCTGTTATCCACAGGATTTACATTCTGAGATCCCCCAGTGGATGTGTAACATGGTAGATAGTACTGAACCTTGGATGTTGGTTAGTTAGGTGCCATCAAGTCAGTTCCAATCCCTAACACCTCCATGTACAAAGGATGAAGCACTGCCTGGTCCTGCACCATCCTCCTAATCTCTGTTGTGCTTAAGTGCATGGTTGCAGCGACTGTGCCATCCATCTCCATAAGAATTTTCCTCTTTCTCTCTGACCCTCTACCAGGGACTGGACCTCTCTGACAATAAGTCCAAAGTATGTGAGACAAGGTCCACTTTCTCCTACACAAACTAAAAACAGTTACTGAGGGTGTCCTGGCAGGTAGTATTAACCTTGGGTGTTCTAGGCAGAATGTTCTAGGGTGCCCAGATGAGGAGCAGGAGGGAGTCACCTCCAAGGCGGAACAGGATGGTGTGAGGTTTCAACATACTACTCAGAACTGGGTACAACTTAAATGCTTTCAGACCTCAGCTGGCTGTATCTTAGCCAGCAAAACCACAGGGAAGGGGAGGAGGCTACTGTACATTATAAGTATGTTTTAAAAGGAGAATATATGTCCTAAAAGTTGTCTATAAATAATTTAAACAAAAAGTTTCTGATCCAAGTTAATATAATTTTATCAACCAAAAAAAGTGCTTTCTTTTATAGTTCTTTGTTGTAGTTTTTAAATTTTTTTTTTTTAATAGAACCTCAAATTTATTGCTGTCTAGTCAGAATATAATCGCAGGTGACCCTAACCTGTAATTTAATACAAAAAAATGTATATTTAATACAAAAAAATTAAATCTTTCCCCTTAAAACCTCTAAGATTTTATTAACACTTCGTTTGAACCTTTCCTTAAGAATATTGTTACCATTGAAATCTGATACATTTTATGGAAGAAAACAAAAGGAGGAGCTATCAAAAAACTTTTTCAAATTACTATTAATAAAACAACATTGATAGCCTTTAAATTTAACCAAGCACTTCCATAGTAGACAGTACATACAATCAGGAACAGCCAGCTCTGACTATAGATTCTAAAAAAGGCAGAACAGACTTATTAAGTAATCTCCAATTTTTTGCTTTACTGTTCTCAAACATCTGTTATTCAACAGCAGCTATAACTGTTAAACTAAACTGAAATCACAACTCTTTTCCTATTTGGAAAAGTAAGTGAAGAAATGCTGGCTGCTATGTGTTGCAGAGTTGGTTCTGACCCACAATGATCCAATGTAAAACAAAACAAAATAAAATACTGCTGGCCCTGCACCAGCCTCACAATCACTGCCACATCTGAGCCTGTTGTTCAGTTACAGGGTCAATCTGTCTTCTCATAAGGCTTCCTCTTTTTTGCCGACCTTCTAACAAAGCATTATGTCCTTTCTCCAGTGGCAGTCCCTCCTGATAACATGCCCAAAGTATGTCAGACAGAGTCTTCTAGCTGTTCGTGGTATATTTAACATTCTTTACCAACATCAGAGGAAATAACGAAAAAATAAGGTAAACAGTACCACTATGTGGATATCTAAAAAGGTTTTTGTATCTACATATTGCTGTTCTCTGACAGTGAGCTAGGAAAGAATTCTGCAATCCTCATCACAATCCTTGCTGCTGTTGCTTGTTTTCCTTCAGTGTCATTTCTATCACAAACAACTGCTAACACCTGCTTTTTCCTTCCATTTTTATCAAAATGACAGAGACTTCAGGAGTGGAAATAATGTGGATAGATTGTAAGGACAGCAAAGGCTAGAACAGGGTCCAGGTCTGTTGTTCATAAGGTCGCTATGAGTTATACTTGTCTCACATCACTAATACTAACCACCACCCAACTCATAGATTAAGCCACACCCTATTTTATGGACCTGAGAATCTCTGTATCATTCATTGTCACTGTCATTGCTACTATTAAAACTTGAGGAACAACCATAATATGGAAATTAAAAAATTAATATTTTGGGGGTATTTGTTTTGTTCTTTATTTTTACCATCTTATTCCATTGTCACAGTAACCCTAGGATTTGATTTATCCCTTGTTACAGAAGCTAAAACTGGAAAGATAGAACTGCTCCTGGTAAAATGTTCAGATTTGCTCCACCTCTTAACACACAGCAAATATGTAAGAACAGGTTAAGAAAGGAGAAATTTTTCTAGTTTTAGTGGCAACAGGCAATGATAGAGCAAAGGGAAACTTAAGAGAAATTCGAAAAGCAAGGGAACCACAGAGAAGATCAATCTTAAAAATTGAGGAAACTTGCACACCCATGTTTATCACAGCTTTGTTTACAATAGCAAAGAGTTGGAAGCAACCTAAGGGCCCATCAACAAATGAAGCAATAGACAAGCTGTGGTATATCCACACAATGGAATACTACTCTGCATTGAAAAACAAGGAACTCATGCAGTATTATTCAAAGTGGGTGACCCTGGAGGACATAATGCTGAGTGAAATATCTCAGTCACAAAGGGACAAACACTGCATGGTACCACTGTTGTAGAATGGGCCTGACATCAGGGCTGGGGTATAACAGAAAAAACTGGATAAATTATGTATATTGTATTGAAACAGACGAGGGAAAGAACAGATTAGAAGTGATATATGATTGAGTATTATGGTTAGTACAGGAATCCAGAATTAAGGTTGCATAGAGAAGTGTACTCGGGGTGGGGGGTGGGGGGAAGGGATGTGGGAATTGTATACTAATTAAGGATTTTTTTTTTCTTTTTCTCTTTGGGGGGGGAGCAAGCTGGTGGGGAGGGGTGGGCAGGGAGAAAAGTGCGGCAATGAATGAATGGAAATCCAAAACCTCTGTAAATGTCTATTAAAATTAATAATAATTTTTAAAAAATTGAGGAAACTCTGCTCAAATGTCTGTATTATACAGGCACGAGGGGAGACCAAGCTGAAAAAGTAGAAGTTAAAAAACTGAGCAAAATCATCATAGGCTGAGTATCAGAAAAGAGTTGTTTACAGTGTGAGTCCAGGCAAATCAAAGCCTATTAAAACAAGAAAACCAACATTACTGTTTCCAAAGAAAGAAAACATTCTAGAGTCACTATTACTTAGTGTCTACAATGTGTAATTTTCAACAAAACAAATATTAGATATGAAAATGGAAATGTGACCTAAAGTCAGGAAAGAAAAGCAGTCAATAGATACTCTAAGTGGGCCTTAATGTTGGATTTGGTAGACAAAATTTTCAAAGCAGCTATTATAAATTTAAAAATTGATGAAAAATACACTAAGTTGACAAGGAATCGTAACAGAGAAATTAAAACTCTAAAAAAAGACACAAGTAGTCTTCTAGGCTGCAACAGTTCCATGATACATCTTCAAGGATATGAACATGTACAGCTAAGCACAATTGATAACAGTGCATCTAAATTCCAAAATCAATCTCCACAACAGTCTACGTGTTTCCTATTGCCAAAGGGGCCCTTTAGAGTAGTGAGAGAAGATCTTCACCCTGAAACCTACAGCATCCCTTTTCAGCAGGAAGTAGCTAATACACCATCCCCTTTTCCTTATGAATCAGGGTAAAGTCTCTCTCAGGGAGGAGTGATAGGGAATGGCAAAGGACACACTGAGATTAATCAGAACTGGCTTTGACAAGCACTGTGGCAATGGGACAATTAAAACAGACTTTCAAGGGGAAGAAAAAAAGAGGAACGAACTGCGGGGCGTAGATAAAATAGTACAACAATGAATGAATGGAAACCCGAAATCTCTGTAAATGTTCATTAAAATTAATAAAATTTAATTTAAAAAAAAGAACAAGTAAAAAATAGAACTTCCCCAATCCAAAAACTAGGGGGAAGAGGGAGATGCAAGGGAGAAAACAAAACTAAACAAACACCCAACCACCAAGACAAATACTGCATTGGACCATTATTGTAAAGTGTGTATGAGGATCCAAGATGGGAGGGGGTGGGTGGCTTACACATAGGGTTGCACAATTTGATGGGTGAAGGGAGGGATGGGTAAAGGAAAGGGGAAAGGTCCAGTGTGAAAAACAATGTATATGAATTTTATGAACTTTGTATATAAACCAATATAAAATAAAAGTAATAAAAAAATCAACCAAACCCCAATAACCCAACAAGAGGCCTGTAGCAATTACATTAATAAATATAAATGGACCAGACACTCCAATCAAAAGCCAAAAAACTGGATTAGATAAAAAGTAATATATAGCCAAAAGCAGATATTTTCTAAACAGTAAGAGACCCACTTTAAAATATAAAAGCAGACTCAAGAACGGCAAACATCTACCATGCAATAGTAAGTAAAAGAGAGCTGGAACAGCTGTTAGTATTGGAACACACTTAACGAAAAGGAGTATTACTAGAGTCAAAGAATGACATTTCATAATAGTAAGTTTATCAGGCAACGAGATATAGAACAATTATAAATGTATATATACCTAATAAGAGAGCTCTAAAATACATGAAGCAAAAGGGAAACGCAAAATAGAAAAGTTGACAATTCTAATTAGGAAATTCAATACTCCTCTCTATAAATGACAGAAGAGGTAGAAAGAAAATTAAGTAAGGATACAGATGACTAGGCCGCTATCATCCTACTTGACCTGTCATTTATAAAACATTCCATCCTTAAACAGAAAAAGACACCATCTTTTTAAATAACATGAACACATCACTAAAGAAACACTCATTATATGTCGGGGAATAAAACAGGTCTCAGTGTATTTACAATTATACAGAATATATTATCAAAAAGACTTAAAAAGCTAAGAATTCTCACTACAACAAGACTAACAAGGCTAGTCATAGGACTTCAGCAGTTTATTAAGTTCAGATACACTTTTTCTTCAGGTCTCTGGAGTGCCTGAATGGCCAGAGTAAAGAATTCTATAAAAGAGAATCTTGCTAGGTTTTTATACCTCAGAAAATGGGATATATTTTTAGTTCTATGTTGTATGGCCTAACTTGAAGTCATTACTGAGCTTTTAAGCAGCAGAAGCTCTGAAATATGTATTCTACAGCTTCTTAAGACTTTGTATGTAGGTATACAAGTGGGGGTCAGGTCTCTAGAGAAAAACATGATTTAGATGTGCCACAATATAGGAAAGATGACAATCTAGCACATGGGCCGTGTGGTTTGCTGTTAGTAAATAGGTTTTATAGGAGCACAGTCATATTCACTGATTTATATACAGTCCATGGTGATTTTTTGTGTTACTGTGGCACAACTGAATAACTGTGACAGATGAACTATATTACCCATAAAACCTAAAATATTTACTATCTGGCCCTTTATAGAAAGTACATCAAGCTCTGATCTAAAGCAAATATGAACTGCTCAACATAGAGCATGTATTGTTGTTGTCAGGTACCGTTGAGTCGGAAGTGACCCATAGCTGGCCCTCCAGTGTGTATTCAGACTGTCCATCCTTCTCCTGTGGAGTAGCTGGTGGATTCAACCCACATGCCTTTAGGATTGCAACATACGTAGCTTCTTGCCAGTAGGCCATCACACTGAGATATCAAAAGCTTAGTATCACAGAAACAAAGTTATACCAAAAAATATAAAGCTGCTAGAAACAAATTTGTAAATTTTAAACAAATTCAGGTGTTATCGGACGAAGGCCCAAATCTGAGAAAATATGAGTCTCTCACCTGATACTTTGGTGCATTGTTGCACTGTGGAAAACTGCCATTGACCTCCCCATTGTGGAGAAGATTATTGTCCACCAGATTCCAGCCCCAGCTTTGGTCGTCGCTGCCCAACAATGCCACATAACCCTGGCACTGCATAGGAGCTCGTTTTGTAGCGATTCCAATCACTGCCACAGTGCCCAGAGGGCCTTCCCACCACACTTCCCAGGCATGGCGGCCCTCACTGAAGCCAATCTTGGTCCTTGCACCATCAGTGCTCTGAGCAATGGGGTTTCGATGTAAAGTAAAGCCATTCTTCTTAATGTAGACATTCCTGGAGCAGTCATTAGTGCTGAAGGCATGTTGGAAAGCACGTACCTGCAAAGATGAAAAAGACACCAAAGACATAAAACTGGATTTTCTTCTAAATTCTGAATTGTTATGGACTGAATTGCCCAAAACATTTGCCATAAATCCTAACCAATGCACACATGAATGGGCTGCTTTGCTCAGTTAATATTTATTGTTGCTGTGTGCTGGGAACCACCTCACTCACAGGTGACATCCCAGCATGTTTTCAGGGGCAGTAAATCATCACACGGAAAGAGAATGCCCATCCTTCTCCCATGGAGCAGATAGTGGATTTGAACCATGTTCCTTTGGGATCACAGCACATTTTCTTGCCAGTAGACCACCAGATCATCCTAATAACAGCATTTATATTATCAACAATATAGTATTATTTGTGTAGAGGGAGTTTTAACCTTATTTTGAAATATATAGAGAAAAAAAGATTAAACAAGCAACCAAGGAAGAAGAAATGGAGAAAGATATCAAGCCACTTGAACTCGCCAAGAGCAGAATTCTGGAAGAGATAAGGACGTTCTTCCAAAGTCAACACAAAGGGAAAGGCATTAAGAATTTGGATATTGGGGAGCTCTGGCGGCCTAGTGGCAAGAAGCTGCACTGCAATCCCAGAGGTACACAGTTCGAATCCACCAGATGCTCTGCCGGAGAAGGAGGAGCAATATCCTCCTCTACCAGTCAGATCTGATTTGACAGTACACGCACACAAAATAATAAAAATTTTAAAAAAAGAAGAAGAAGAATCTGGATATCTAGCCTTTTAAATTGTCACGAAATAAATCTCTTTGTTAAAGTTACCCACTTGTGATATTTACCAAAGCAGTACTAAGTAACTAAATTTTAGCTGTTGTTATGTGCTGGCAAGTTGGAACTGGCTCACAGCTGACCGTTTAGCGGGTTTTCAGAGGCTATAAATCACATACGAGGTGGCTGCCTATTGTTCTCCCAAGGAACAGCAAGTGGCTTTGAACTGTCTGCCTTTGGGTTAGCAACACATCTTCTTATCCACTAGGCCATCAGAGCCCCCTAGATAATGGTAAAACTGTATGCAAACCATAGGTTATATGTTTTTGTAAAAATGTTACAATACTTTTAAATAATCCAACAAGTTATTTTCAAAGCATGGCTAAAGTTTCAAGTTGGGATACTAAGCTAATAAAATGTATAATATAAAAAATAACTGTCAACTTGTTTATCATTTGACAAAAATACTAATAGCAAAGATATAAAAAAGTATTTTTAAGAGGTAATACTAAAATGTTGATGACTGCTATAAAAATATCTAGAGATCGCTCTGAAATAATCCACGGGTTGAAAAGGATAGTAAAGAGGAAAACATGAAATTAAACTGGTGACAAAGTATCGATTGTTAAAGTTGAGCAAATGGTATTGGGAGGTTCATTAAACTATTTTCTCTATGTTGGTTATGCTTGTTATTTTTAAAGAAAATACCAACATGCACAAAAGTTAAAGATGCAGTTTTTGAGGCTGATCATACTATCACTGAAAAAAAAAAATTGTATTTTAAGTAAAACAGAGATCTTAGAGTCATAGCAGTTCTAAATTCGTAAAAAACTGAGTAACCTCAAACTACTTTAGATCCTGTCTGTCATTAGACATAGATCTTGTTATGTCATTACTCATACACTGAGACATGACCATTCTTATTTTGCCAAATCAAATAAACTCCAAGATAACATCTAAATTCAACCACTGGCATTTACCGTCAATAAGAGCAACTGACACTGATGTAGTAGGTTATATCCTTCAATAATTATAAGAGAATTTTTAAGCCAAAATGGGGGGGAACCAACAAAACCCATAACAAAACAAAAAAAACCTCAAGCTCACTACCAGTCCTCTTGGCAATTTCAATTCAATCTAAAAAAACAAACAAACCAAAAAAACCACTAAAATCCTCCCAAACCAAAAGCAAACCAAATATAGCACTCTCAAACTCAGCTGACCCTCCATGGGGTTTTTCTAAGGCTGTAATTCGCACTGGAGGTGATTACCCATTTTTCTCTTGGAGCAGCGAGTGGATATGAACTGTCTGTCTCTGCACTGGTGGCACAACTCCCCATCCACTAGACCCAGAGCTGTTATTCAGAGACTGTAAGACAGAGCAGAACTGCCTCCACATGTTTTCCCAGCTTGTAAATCTTTCCTCTGTGGAACAGCTAGTTGGTTCAAACTGTCTATTTTTCAGTTAGCAATCCAATGTTTAATCACCAAAGCTTCACTTCTACAATACAGCAGAAATCAGGTATTCTGTAGAAATACTAGAAATTTCTCATGTTTCAAATCATTGGAATCTTTTTTGGGGGGGTTTGTTTTTAAATAAAGCCCTTCTTTACTTTCATTAAACTACCAAAAGTCAGCTCTTGGTTGGTATCTAGTTAATCTGAGAAATCAATCCCAGAGTGAAAAGGGCTTTGGAGACAACCTAGCCCAACATGTACACAAAGACAGGCCTAAAAGGCTGTGCTGGCAGAGTCAACAGCTAATTAGCCTAACAGCTCCATCAGGCCAGTGGGTCCCTAGTTCACTACTGTCATACAGAAGAGACAGAGTACAAAACTACATGCCTTAGGTATCTCATGTTTTCATAAGGTGGCTGACTGTAAACACAAAGATTTTCTAGACTTTTCCTACTATAAAACAAATATTTTAAGGTATATGAAAGGTTAAACATGGGATTAAATGGTAGAGGAAAATACTCCAGGTACATTCTATATTTAACTATGTAATTTAAGAGAATATTATAAATGGATTAATCCCTTACTATAAAACAATTAATATTTCCTTATACCTATTCCTTGATTTTGATCAATTTCAACTGCTTTGCTTTGCTTTTATCCTCCGCCACAATATTATTCATAACATTTTCCTCAAACTTCTAGCGTATCTACTTACTTCCTTGAACTGATCCTTGATTGTATCTTTTTTTGGTATCACTCTACCACCACTCCTCAAAATTCTCTAGACTCAGCCTTTAACAAATCTTTCTAAAACAGAACCTTACTACATAATCATTCCAATTCAGTAACTTTGATGGTTTCACGTATACCCCCATACCAAACACAAAGCCCTCCAGATCTGGATCCTTCTATTGGATCTTCATGTTGTTCTCTCTGTAGTATCAAAACCTGCTTTCCTCCTTTCCTCCACCCTCTAATACCAAACCCAATTCTATCTAAGAAGTTATTCTTAGAAGAATCATCCAATCACCTTAATTTCTTTCTTCTGAATTCCTACCCACCAAAGTTGGTCCTACATCACACTTAATTCTGTTTATCTTCTCTTCTAACAAATATCCACAAGAAATACAGAGGACAGAAGAGAAAGTTAAACAACACTATGGGGAAGAAATAAGCAAAATTCAGAGGAAAATTCTACAGAGTAAACGGTCTTCAATAAATAAATTAGAGGAATGGAGAAGATGAAAGGTCAATCTATAGACTAATGTTATGTGCTGTCAAGTTAGAACTGCCCCAAAGCTGGCCCTTAAAAGTTTCAAAGGGTGTAAAATGCACAGGAGGAAACTGCCCATCTACCTCCTGGAAAGCAGTTAGTAGACTTGAACCGTGAGCCTTTTTTTTTTTTCCCTTTAACCTGGGCAACTTCTGATCACTAGGCTACCAGGGTTTCCCTGCAGACTAATAGAGACAAACCAACTACTCAAAACAGGAATAAAATCCTGATCTTTTAGAAATGTATCTGTAAATTTTCAGATGAAATGAAAAAGAAATAAATTTTTAAAAATAAATTTTAAAAAATGAAAATAAGTAAGTAAACAAACAAACAAGCAACGCTTCCAGTCTCACAGTTCCACGCACAACCTGGATTTTACTTTATAGCAAACAGCTTTAAGGCTTAGTTTAGGAGTTAAATCTACAATTTAGAAAATTACCACTAAGATTCCAAGTATATTGGTATTAATTAATGTTCGCTGGTAAAATAAGAACTTTGAAAAAGACTCTGAATAGAATGACTAAATCCCAACACTTTGCAATTATAGGCTATTCCCTAGAACCTGTACCTATCCTTTTTTGTTACTCAAGTTCGCTGAAAATGGTATCGACTTCTTCCTTGACTCACTGGATCTATCTGCTATCCATCTATGTGAACTTGTTCTCTGCATTAACTCTCAGCCATGTCCTCATCTCATTTACATCTATCAGGTCATAAATTATCTCCAGCATAAATATCATCTCTATAGTTTCCCCATGTTCCCTCCACTTCACCTTATGGCCAAGTCTTTTTAACACACAGCTCTCATTTTATCACTCTCTTGTCCAAACTTTGATGACTATAGCCCCAACTATAGAATGAAAGCTGTATTTCAAGGCCCTGCATGATCTACCTGGTTCCAGTTTATCTTTATAATCATTTATTAAACCTAACAGAACTCTTTTACATCTTAATTGGAAACTCTTCTCCAATCTCCAACCTGTTGGTGAACTGCTGAATCTTCAAACTGTTGGTCACCTAAACAAAATACCTTAGAATTAAAAAAAACTGTAAATTTCCATTCACGATCACAAGGGCAGCATTTGCCTAAGGAGAAAGTTGTGAAGACAGGAAAGGATAGGAAAAAAAATGATGACTGGAAACAAGAATCACAAGAAGGAAGTGGGAAGAATGTGGTTACAATGTGGGAACTTCAATATCATAAAACCAAATTTGTATGAATTATTAAAATGGAAAACCATTTTGCTTTGGAAACTTTCACTCAGCACAGTAAAAAGGTGTTTTGTTTTTTTTTTTAATGGCCCATATGATCTCTGTCTCATGTAAGTCAGACACCTGGGAGTCATCTTCAGCAGTGTCCCCTTCTTTACCCCTGTCTGAATACTAACACCAAGTCACAGTCCTGCAGGCCCTACTCCTAAATCTGCCAATTTCTCCTCATCTCTTTCACAGTCTACTGTCTAACTGATGACTTTCTCTCTCATAGACCCCTCAAACTTGTTGTCCATATTCAGAATTAACTTAAGGATATAAAAAGTCACATCATCAGTCTCACCCTTCCAATCCTGTCTTCGTAATATTAAAAATTATTTCCCTGTAGTTTTGGCCTCCAGATCTTCCATCTAATCTCAAACATGCTTCACCTTACTGTACAAATTCCAGTCACACTGATGAGTTTTCTGTTATACTCGTCAGATTCCTTCCTGGCAAGGTCTTCTCTGTTCCCTTGGCTTATTTAGCCTTTCAGGTCTACTTAAACATCACTTCTTTCAGAAAAAGACTACCTAGTGAAAACATACTCTATGTTTGCTATAGAATCTCTCTCTTCGTTATCCTCTTGGCCTGTTTCTTTTCAGGGTATTCTTAAAAAATGTTGAAACCTTCCCCATCTTTAAAACAATTCAACTCAAAACAAAACCTCAAATTTCAAATCTTTTCCAATCTCCAATTCAATTTATAAACCTCTCCTTTCACTGAACTTGTGGTAAAGGAGGAAGTTCTGGTGGCCTAGTGATAAGAAGTTGAGTTCCAATCTCAAAGGCACACAGTTCCAATCTGCCGGCTGCCCAGTGGGAGAAGGATGGACAATCTCTGAGCGATTTACAGCCTCTGGAAACTTGCTGTAGAGTCAGCTATGAGTGGGTTCTGACTTGATGCACACAACAACAAATAATAAGAAGCTATTTGTACAATGCACTGCCATGCTTCCTATGTATCTTTTCTCCTATACTAAACGAATCAAACCTATTGCCAGAGTCAGTTTCAACTCACTGCAACTCCAGAGGACAAATCAGAACTGTCCCCAAAGGGTTTCTAAGGTCGTATATCTTTAAAGAAGCAGACAATCTCATCTTTTTTCCCAGGGAGCAGTTGTTAGACTCGAACTGCTGAGACCTTTCGATTAATAGAAGAATGTCTTAACCACAGAGCCGTCAGAGCTCTATTTTCTAGAATAAGGGCTTGCTTATTTAGCTATCTGACTCATTTTTAAAAATCTGACTCACAGATTTAATCTTCTGAATCAATATGGTCACGCAAAACACCCTGTAACATCTGAATGTTATTAATTTAAGTCATAGCTGAATAAATGACACAGCTACAGGAGGCCTGGTGGTGCAACAGAGAGGCACTCAGATGGTAACCCAAAAGTCAGCTGTTCAAATCTACCCAGTGATTCTGAGAAAGGGCTGGCAATATGCTCCTTTAAATATTACCATTAAAAAAACCCCAACAAACCCACAACAATGTGCATGAATTAAATACATTAAAAAATAACACTAAAAAACTCTGCAGCAGTTCTACTCTCTCATATGGGACCACTCTTGAGTTAAAATCAACTTGATGATACGTAATAACAACATGCCAAGTACTAAAATTTTAGAAACCAAAAAAGCAAACATCAGAAACCTAAAATATCTCTGGAAGGACAGTCAAGCAATTCTGAGATTATGAAGGAATTCCATTCCTATATCTGTCTTTAAGTTGAATTTGTAGTAAAATGAAGTCAGGTACCTAAATGTTTTGTCTCCAGATATAGTGTACCTCTCTATGAGTAAAAACAGGAAGGAAACATTTCCAGATATTCTAACACAGTAATACAGTAAAAATGATAATTCTTTGATTTGTATCACAAAACAGTGCCAATTTACCATTACAGACATTGTATGTACATAGAATTTTTAATATTATAAACTTTACAGAAGTTGGTCTGTAAGTATTGGCCATTCTGGAATCCCAGAACTGCCTGTCTATAAACAAAATTTATGACAAGTCTCCAAAGCAGAGAATCTGGTAACTGAAGGACAGAGGTGAAAGAAAGGCATCTCCTTTCATATAATTTTGCAGCTTGAGTCATGTGAACATATTATTTACATCTATTATTTAAAAAGTCTTTAAACCATAAACTTAAGGGGAAATAAAAATAAAACTAAACTTAAAGAAACCATACATTTATAAGGGAAAGTCTGACAAAACTGTAATCTTCTGCAATCCACCTCATAAATAACAACTAACATCTTCTGGGAACCCATACACAAACACTGTCCTAAGAAATTAATGTGTTATTTTATTTACCATAAAAAAAAAAACCCAACAACAAAACTTGAGAGGTTAATATTTAACAGCAGTGTTTCCTATGTATTAAATTACCTATCTTAAAACAAAAAATTTTGACACAACAATCTCACACGATACATTTTTGTTTTACTTACACCAACCCCCCACCTTTTCATTATTAGGGAGCTCCAGTGTAGGAGTATGAAAGGAGTTGCTCTGTCCCAAAGGTGGCACTTCTCTGGCTGTTCAAATACACAAAGGCTCTGAGGGGGAAATATGGGCAATTTCTTCCCACGGAATTTACAGCCTTGGAAACTCCACTGGAGGATTAGCTGGGAGTCCATTCCTACTCCATGGCAATGAATTTGAATTTTAATTATTAAGGTGTTTCGGATGTAATATATTCTAGTCACATGCATTATCACACATACTCTTGATGGAACTACACTGGTGTTGTACAGCTCTGAACCCCAACCTGAGACTTTTGTTTAAACTGCAGCGATATGCACAAGACTATAGGAGGAAATGAAGGGAATAAAAAATTGCAACCACCACTTTGATTACAAATGGAACAGAAAGACGCATAAACTATGAAAAAGTTGGCAAATTAGGAGCCAGTAATAGTGGGACAAGGCAATATTATGACACTAAGTTGTTCTGATGGGAGGATGTTCTATGAAAGCCTAGATCCTCAAAGTTAGCAGCGTGCCTAGGAACTCATTTGCAAGTCTGAAACAGAAAAGAATGAGAAGGTGAGTGAAAAACAGGGTAAAAATGGTTATAAAGAAAAAGGTTTTTACATATATCTAAGAAACTAAGCTGATATTAAGATGGGGGAAAAAAATCCCGGGCAGCCGTAATGATTTATTTAATCGCATGTATTTATAAGTAAGACAGGAAGAAAAATGGGATGCTAGTATTAAAAGATACAACAATGGGAGTGGTCTGTTCTTAAGGGGAAAGACTGTCGAAAGTAGAATGAGTAATGGAAGCCAAGTATGGGAAACCATTTGGTCTTCAAAAGAGTGGAACACGAAAGTGGGGTAGCTTCATAGTGACAGTCAGTACGCGAACCCAAAGAGAAGGGGATCTTTATGGGGCGGGGGCGAGGGGAGAGGTGAGGTAAGGTACTGGCTGGAGCCATGGAAAGGCGGGCTAGGGAGACGCGACGTCTGACTCATACGCTTAGATGAGAAGCACTGAGAGCGGCGCCGAGGAGCGGACGAGGGGCAGCTGCGTGTCCCAGGGCTCCCTCACCTTGGCCTTGTAGCTGGGCAGGTTGCAGAGAATGTCCGTGCGCAGAGCCTCCTCGGCCAGGCTGCGGGCGCACAGGCTCCGCCACACCTCGCTGTTTTCATCGCCGTGCAGGCAGCGGTACCAGTGCTTGCACACCAGGGCGCAGCTCCGCAGTTCGGACAGCTCCAGGTAGGAAAACACCAACTCCAATACCCGGCTGGGCAGCCGGCCCCCTACCCCCGCAGACCCCGATGCCGAGCCCGCGCCGGCGCCCGCGCCGCTACAGCCAGCGCCGCCCGAGGCTCCTCCAGCTCCCGGGGCCGGCGCCGCCATCGTCTCACCAGCCGGCCCGAAGGCCGCTGCTGCCGCCGCGTTCCCCCGTCTCTGCTCTGGAGGCCAAACCTCGCCTGGAGACTAGAGCAACGAGTTCACCGCCCCTTTCACAGCCAACAGCCCGGCACCTCTGCCACTCCCGCCCCTGCCCGCGGGCGCCCGCCGCGCGCCCCGCCTCACTGAGGGCAGACGCGCCGGCCGCACGGGCGTCCCTCGCCCCTCCTCCGCTCCCCAGGCTCAGGGCGGGCGCCGGAACCGCCCGATTCGCGTGGCCTCCCCGCGGCGCGCCCGTGGCTCCGCCATGCCAGTTGAGGGCACGAAGCAAGGGCGCACGCCCAGCTCTCTCGCCGTTCCCCTTAGCCCCGGATGTGACTGTTTGCCTAAGGCGCCTCGCACTCTGCGCTTGTTGTGATTGGACGGCTGTGGTGAGGTCATCACGAGGCGCCGAGACTGAGATCGGAAAGAGCAGGTATGAGGCTGTTTCGGGTGGGTTCGTGGCTGGCATCCAGTGTCTTCCTCTTTTTTTACTCTGGTAGGCTCTCACCAGCAGTTCTCCGTATCTTTCTCCGTGTCAGGGTCCTGCGTCAGTTGTCAACCAAAAGTTTGAAATTTATCTTCTTGTTAGCCAAGACATGTGTCGCGCACATCTTCAGTTGGACCCGTTTTTTTTTAGTCAGGCCCTTTTGGTATTAGTTAGGATTGGTGGACGATCTATCAACAATCTGCGTTATGTAGATGACATAACCCTGCTCGCTGAAAATGAGGAGGACCTCATGCACTTACTGCAGAGGGTCAAGGACTGCAGCCTTCAATATGGATTGAGGCTCAATGTCAAGAAGACAAAAATTCTCACCACTGGACCAATCGGTAGCATCAGGATGGATGGCGAAGAGATTGAGATTGTTCACAGCTTCAGTTTGCTCGGCTCCACGGTCAACACTCTTGGCACCAGTAGCCAGGAAATAAAAAAACGTATTGCGATGGGAAAGTCTGCGGTTAGGGACCTCTCTAAAGTACTCAAGAGCAACGGTGTCTCTCTGGAGACTAAGGGGCGCCTGATACAGGCCATGGTTTTTGCAATCACTTGTTATGCATCAGAGAGTTGGACAATGACTAGGGAGGATAGAAGGAGAATTGAGACCTTTGAGCTGTGGTGCTGGAGAAGAGTATTGAATGTACCATGGACTGCCAAGAAAACAAACAGATTCATCCTAGAGAGGGTTAAACCAGGCTGCTCCTTGGAGGCAAGGATTCTGGGGCTTCGCCTGACATACTTTGGACATGTTGTAAGGAGAGACAGGTCTTTAGAGAGGGACATCATGCTGGGTAGAGTGGAGGGACAGCACAGGAGGGGAAGACCCTCTATGAGGTGGATTGATTCAGTGACTGGGGTAATCAGGATGGGTTTGTCAGAGGCAATGAGATTGGCACAGGATAGAGCAGGGTTTAGGGCTGTTGTACATAGGGTCACTATGAGTCGCAAACAACTCAACGGCACATAACAACAATAACACAATTTATCAGAACTTGTTTCCCAGCATATTTTCAGAAAGTAAAGTGACACAGTGGCAAACTGTCCGATCCCAAACATTTGAAAAGCCATTAACTGCAGCTTCAGTGGTGGTTATGACATTCTTTTGGGCAAAATGTGAACATTTCCAGATCCACTGCTTTATAGGCATACTAAGGGAGTATAGTTTTGTGCAGGTTAGTATTTCAATGAGGAGGCTCTGGTGGTCTGCTGGTAAGGAATTGCGAAGCCAACATAAAGGCATGAGGTTCTTGTCCACCTTGGGAGACTAATCGTATCCTTTGTGATTTACTGCTTCTGAAAGCCTGGTGGGAAAGCTGGGGAGCCGTTTCTAACTTTGGTACATGACTTACTAGAAGGAAACAAATCTCAGTATTGTATGCTCATGCTACATCTTCCTCTCTAGCAAAGTGCCTTTGAGTCAGAACCTACTGTTAGCAACCTTCCGATGGGTTACCGAGGTGTTGGGTGGAGATTGCTCAGCTTTCTCACACAACACGCCTGCTGGATTCCTGGTGTAAAAGGCACTGCCTTTTGTGCAACTCCCTAGAGACTATACCACTGGAGTTCCTATATCTTTCTAAACAGCCCAGATAGTTTATCTGATAGTCTTTAAAGAACACTTGAGAAGAGACTAGTAACCACCATTTGAGCTACAATGTAAACCATGGTCTTTTCTCAAATTTTTATGTAGTTCTCAAAACAACCCTGTGAGGCTAAGGAATTATACAATGAGTTTATACGTTCTCTTAATAGTCAACTCTGGTGTCTTGCAACTACTATGACATAAATATTTCTTCAGCCCTTTTTCAAAATCAAGGTCAGCACTACTTTACCTTTCTCAGATATGCAGAGTTGATTATTGTCAGTTCTTCCTACCAGATGTATTTTTACCCCTACAAGCTCAATAGCCCAAAATCTTCATTTTTCACTAATGTGTAGTGTAATTGATCCAACTTTTCTATAACCTTTCTAGCTTACCGAATGATTGTGTGCAGTTATGCAAATAAGGGGCTTGTGACCCCCCCCCCCAAGGAGTTTAGACAGCTTGCTGGCTGCTAATGCAATTAAGATGCATGGAACTCTTGTGGTGGTTCTTGTGTGCAGAAGGTGTATGGAACCCTAAGAGTGGGCTGGGCAGTTTGCTAGCCTGCTAGACATAAACAGTCCCAGAGAAAGTAGGACCACTTCAAACAAGAAGAGAAAGGAGCAAAGTGCATCCTGTGGATCCAGGGTCTCTATGCTGAGAACTTTCTAGACCCAGGAGACAGCTGTAACACTGGAAAGCAGGAACAGTGGCAGCAGAGCCAGCAAACTAGCATGAAATTGGTCAGAGATGGTACAATGGGCTTCTAGGCCCAAGAGTGAGAAAACTAAACAAATTGAAGCAGGAGACTTACTGGTAGACTAGGGTGCCTTGGGTACTTAGCAGAATTCAAGAGCTTTTTAACACTTGTTGTAGTAGGGCAGAGGTTATGCTAGCCCAGGAGATCTAAAGGCCCCAGAGAACTGAGATCAGAGAGAGGCTTGCCTACATGTACAATTAGAGACTGCCTTGATGGAATCACTGTATCCCAAGTCTTTCCTGATTCTGAGAAGTAAAGACTGTAAGTATCTGAATTGATAAAAAGATTGGAGATAGAAAGTATGTCTGACTTCTGCTTTGAGCTGATGCTGACTTTTGAAGTTAGAAATCAGATGCCTCCCCCATGCTATTTTTACTTAATACCAATGATATTTCAATCATTTTGGTTACAGACCAGCTTCTCCACAAGAAGGAAACTTGAATTACACCGATTATAGTTATGCTGACCTTAAGATTATAGTGATTGGATGACAGTGTAACCTCAAATTGTTGTTCAGTGCCTTTGGGTAGTAGGCGACTCATAGCAACAATATGAACGAAAGTTCTTGACACTTGGGTGACTTTCATCCTTTCTCCAGGTTCATAGGGTTTCCAGAGACAAGCTATTTACAGAAGTGGATGCCACTCCTGCTTCCAAGCTAACCTCAGATTGTTGTTGTTGTTGTTATGTGCTGTCCACTCGTTTGCGACTCATAGCGACCCTATGTACAACAGCCCTAAACCCTGCTCTATCCTGTGCCAATCTCACTGCCTCTGACACACCCATCCCGATTACCCCAGTCACTGAATCAATCCACCTCATAGAGGGTCTTCCTCTCCTGAGCTGCCCCTCCACCCTCCCAAGCATGATGTCCCTCTCCAAGGACCTGTCCCTCCTTACAACATGTCCAAAGTATGTCAGGTGAAGCCCCAGAATCCTTGCCTCCAAGGAGCAGCCTGGTTTAACCCTCTCTAGGATGAATCTGTTTTCTTGGCAGTCCATGGTACACTCAATACTCTTCTCCAGCACCACAGCTCAAAGGCATCAATTCTCCTTCTATCCTCCCTAGTCATTATCCAACTCTCTGATGCATAACAAGTGATTGCAAAAACCATGGTCTGTATCAGGCGCCCCTTAGTCTCCAGAAAGACACCGTTGCTCTTGAGTACTTTAGAGAGGTCCCTAACCGCAGACTTTCCCATCGCAATACGTTTTCTGATTTCCTGACTGCTGGTGCCAAGAGTGTTTACCGTGGAGCCGAGCAAACCGAAGCTGTGAACAATTTCAATCTCTTCGCCGTCCATCCTGATGCTACCAATTGGTCCAGTGGTGAGAATCTTTGTCTTCTTGACATTGAGCCTCAGTCCATACTGAAGGCTGCAGTCCTTGACCCTCTGCAGCAAGTGCATGAGGTCCTCCTCAGTTTCAGCAAGCAGGGTTGTGTCATCTGCATAACGCAGATTGTTCATAGATCTTCCCTCAATCCTGATGCCACACTTCTCATAGAGCCCAGCCTCTCGGATAATCTGCTCTGCATACAGGTTGAAAAGGTACGGAGATAGGACACATCCCTGGCGTACACCCTTCCCAATTTTGAACCATGCAGTGTTCCCTTGCTCTGTTCTGACGACTGCCTCCTGGTCCAAGTATAGATTTCACATCAGCACAATTAAATGTTCTGGGATTCCTATTCTTCTCAGAGTCAGCCACAGTTTGTTATGAGCCACACAATCAAATGCCTTTGCATAATCAGTGAAACACAGATAGACATTCCTCTGGTACTCCCTGCTTTCAGCCAAGATCCATCTAACATCAGCAACAACATCCCTAGTACCACGACCCCTTCTAAACCCAGCCTGGACTTCTGGCAGTTCTCTGCTGATGTGCTGTTCCAGTTGTTTTTGGATAATCTTCAGTAGAATCTTGCTTGCATATGAAATCAATGATACTGTTCTGTAGTTTCTACACTCTGTTAGGTCACTCTTCTTTGGAATGGGAACAAATATAGATCTCTTCCAGTCAGTTGGCCAAGTGGTTGTTCTCCAGATTTCTTGGCACAACTTGGTGAGCACATCCGGACAGCATCTTTTAGCTGAAATACATCAATTGTATACCATCTATTC